GCCAAATTAGGATCGATCCTGGGTCTTGTGTTTTACTTTTGGAAAATCATGTCTCTCTTTTCCCTGAGGTTGCTAAGTCAATAGGATGTAAGTCCGGAACTGTGGGGGCCGCCCTCCAGCCTGCCTGAGAAGGATGCCCATACAAAGGAAACAGACATCAGCAGAGAATAAACAGTGACAGAGGAACCAAATCTTGAAGCTGTTGTGTGAGCCCTTGAATGCAGATGAGCCACAACCCTGGGTGGACCCGCTCTGTAAGCCGACACATTTCCTTGTTTAACTCAACGTAGTCTGAGGTGGGTTTCTGTCACTAGCAAGTGTTCGGATTAATATAGACACCAAATCATTAACAGTGATTATCTTCGGTAGTGAGAATCAGGTGATTGTTTAGTTTCTCTTTCTGCTTATATGTGTTTTGTTCTCTGTTTTGTTTGATTTTTAGGAGTAATGACAAATGTACTAATTTTTCCAATTAAAATATTATTTTAATACATGGAGGGAAGAGGTAGAATGTCACTGAGGCGTGCTTAATCTCAGAAAGGGCTTCAGACCCTCCTCGGCAATCTCCAATGTCTACTTTGCTTCCCAGGTTCTTCTTTTGTCCCTCATGTTACTTGCACGATCCGCTCTAGAAATCCAGGAATAGAGAAAAGGCACTAATGATTTCCAGAATTCTCTACCAAGCTTGTGATTTCCAGAGTGATATCTATTCCTCCATTGGCCATGATTGTACTCCAATTAAAGCTAATGATGGTGCTGTATTTTTCTTTGCAAGAGAAAAGGATAAAACATGAGAAATTCTTTTCTTCTTTCCAGTAAATGCTTTCATACTTACCTACAGAAAAAGAAGAAGATGCTATTGATGAGACTTGGCTGATAGCTGGACACTCCATTAAAGTTAGCTTAAACATGGCAAGCATACTCCATTTCTAAGGAACAAATGAAATGGGCTTAATTTGCTGCTGAAGGGAGCTGTTCAACTTAAGGAAAATTCTAGCTCCTCAGTCCAGCAAGTGATGCTATTACCAAGGGGAATAACGGATCAAATCTTGGGTCTGACTCCTCCAGGGCTTCCTGAAGTAGCCTCTGGATCTCCCTGGAAATTTGGATATCAATTTGCCTGGGCCTGTGACCCATTCCCAACCCCTCCTTGTCAGTGGTCAGTAAGTCTGTACAAAACACAAAGAGTACTGAAGTTCATGATCTCAAGAAAAGAAAATGACTCTGGATAACTTTGGCAAAAGTGAATTTTCTTAAACACTAAGTACTTAGCTCAGAGAACCTGCAGAAGACCAGAGAATTAGGCTTGATGGCTATCTAGCTAGGAATCCCTTCAGGGTAATGCCACAGAAAGGACTCGGTAAATACACCCGCCTCTCCCCTATTCCTGAGCCCAGATTTCATAGCCCATACCTACGCCCCCCAAAACTGCACTTGGAAGGAAGGAAGGAAGGAAAGAAGGTAGGAGGGAAGGAAGGAAGGACTGTGAATCTTAGATCCTAACATGAAATCCATCTATTGAGGATAGCAGAGCACCCAGATAGGAAGAGCCATTTCTATCTGACTGGAATACTACCGTTATTTTGGTTTCTGTTATAGGAGATGAGTCTGTATCCTAAGTAATGTCCTTGGGCTTTATAGAAATAGCTTCCCTTGCCTTCAAAAAAGCTATGGCAAATGGCTTTAGCCAAAAGAGATGAAGCCAACGATGGCTGTATGATGCCAAGCTGGAAGGTTCCAGCAGGAAGTGAAGAGGCACTAGTGAGGTGAAAACCACTCATCTTGGATCGGCCGACTTGGTGTGTTTAGGGGTTCTAATCAATCTATAAGAAAAAAAATCTATCAGGGAAAAAAGTATCACCAGCAATGTCCACTGCAGGAAGACCCAATGGTACCACTTCAGTCCATTATCTGGAGTAAAGAGCCCAATGGGTGTTCATGAAAGATCAGGCGCTCTCGTCAGGCTAGATTAAGCGATGCTCTCACCTTCCTGAATGGACTGATGGAGGCCACAACAAAGGAAGGACGATGCCTTCCACATTCTTCACCCAAGAGAGTCTTCCCACTTCAGCTAGTTAATGGCCATTTGGGCCACAGACTGCCTCAAAATCATCTGGGTTATTTGTGTAAATACAAATTCCTAGGGGAGCCTGGGTGGCTCAGTCAGCTAAGCATCCAATTCTTGATTTCAGCTCAGGTCATGAACTCAGAGTTTGTGACAGTGAGCTCTGTGTCAGGCCCTGTGCTAAGCGTGGAGCCTGCTTGGGATTCTCTCTCTCCCAATCTCTCTGCGTCTACCCAGTTTGCTTGCACACTTTCTCTCAAAATAAATAAACATTTTTTAAAAATTTCTAGACTCTACCCAAAAAAATCTGAATCAACAGGTCTGTCTGGAATGCTTATTGTGGTGATCATTTTACAATATATGTAAATATCAAATTATTCTGTTCTGCACCTGAAACTGATGCAATGTTATGTGTCAACTATACCTCAATTAAAAAAAGGGGGGGGGTCTGAAATAGGGTCCAGCAGGTACCTTTCACACACTCACCAGGGGATTTTCCTGCACAACAGAGTTGAGGATAACATGTAAAATTTTTATAGTAGCAGACTCAAATAAAAATACACCTAGAAGCTTTTTCCACACAGAGTTCATGTTTATACACCAAAGTAATCTCAGAAAAATGGAAAGGTCCATGAATTCAGATTTGTTCCAATATATTTTCTCTAAATTCTGTAATGAGCTCCACCTTAAGCAAAACCATTAATATAACTACTCTTTCTTTTCCAGAAATCCAAAATGAGCATCTAAATTAGTTCCTTGGGAGCATTCAAGGAAGAGGTCAATCATATCTGTGTAACAGGAGAACAACACATATTTCCTGTTGATGATCCCATACAGTACACTCTCAACAAAGAAGAACGAAACCTCTGTCAGCACCAAGAAAGAAAAAGAGCCAGGCTTCTGGATGCTTCTCAAATGGATTCACTTCAAAGTGTGATTTTTTAAACAGATTTTATGTGTAAGTAATATCTACACCAAACGTAGGACTTGAACCTCTGACCCTGAAATCAAGAGTCACACATTCCACCAACTGAGCCAGCGGGCGCTTCCTCAAAGTATGACGCTAATAAATACATCAACGAGGAGAAGGTGACTGAAATGAACTGGTAAGTCTCCTTCATATTATGTGGAATCTGAAAAAATCGAACTCAGAGTGACTAGAATGGTGGTTGCTGGGGAGTGGGGGAAGTGGGGAGATGTGGTCAAAGGGTATAAATTTTTCAGTTGTAAGATGAGCAAGTTGTGGACACCTAACGTATAGAATGATGACGAGAGTCACTAATAATGGACGACATACTTGAAATTTGCTGAGAGTGGATCTTAAGTGTTCCACCACACACATATGGAAAATAACTATGTGAGCTGATGAATGTGTTAATTAGCTTGATGGTGGCAACCCTTTCACAGTGGTTATCCATAATGAATCATTACACCGTACACCTAATTTTTATGTCAATTATACCTCAGCGAGGCTAGGAAAAAAATATCCTTTACCATTTAAAGTCCGTTATATTTATTTGACTTTGTACCATTTCATACCAGATTAACTTTTGAGGAATTCAGTGGAGTTTGGCAGAAACACTTTTGGAGTGGTAAAAAGAAAGCTAGCCTCTGCAATGTCATTCTTTAACATAAGCCATCGAAGACCAGGGGTGGGGGTGGTAAGGGTGTATTCTCATCACAGACTTGAAATAAACTTAAGCCATGTGATCTAAGAATAAGAAACGATAATATAAATCCTAAAAGGTATGCGCAGAGTTTGATAATGTACCCCCTTAGAAAGTAGTGTGCAATATGGTCCAGTTTTAAGGGGAGAAGGAAAGACAGAGCTTAATGAATCCACCTCCTCTAAAGAAATCGGTCCCCCAAGTTTCCATTTCATCGCCATGACAACTAGTACTCCATCATTGCCATGGTAACCAGTTGAATAGCATTAGTCTAAAGACAAGCCCTCTGATTGGGCGACCAACGGAAGCCGTGAGGAGCCACACAGCACTGCTGAAAAGGCTGTTCTGCAATCGCATTGACCTATTTCTAGCCTTCCAGCGTGTTTCAGCTCTCTTCTGCGTCTCCTCAAACCAAATATTGGTTTTGGAATGAGATGATTTCAAGAAGTGTATACTAATCATCCTCCCACATGTCAGTGATAAATTTGAGACCATTTGGTTTCTAATTTTCCAGAAGTGTGGCAATAGCTGACGGCCACACCCTCCTCCATGCCTTGCAGTTTAATTGTGACAATCCCTCTGTTACAGTCACAAGGCACGCTGACGACAGCCTGCCTTCCCTAATGAGGCCACTGAGAAGCTGACCTGGGAGGAAACTTTGAGGGCGAGGAGTGGCCCTCCTGGAAAATAACAGAGGGAGAAAAAGACCCGTGCGTGTGGCGGCGCTCGGATTTATCGGTGCACACAAACTAGGACTTTCGGTGCAGAAATGGTTTCGAAGAAGTACTGTCCTTTCGAAATGCGGTGGAGCTTTTGAAAGAGAAACATTTTCCAGCTGATATTCTTGCTTGGTTGCTCGCTCAAAGCAAACTGCTTATGTATTCCTAAAGCATTCCTGGCATGCCCTTAGAAGCAAAGTTACCTTGGGAAATCCACCCCAGTCCCGGCCTCATCCCTCTCTGTAGCTGGACCACGTCGTGACCACGTGTGTGCTGTCAGGAAACTTCCTTGATATTTTCATGCTCTGGGCGTTCATAAAATATCCCATGGGCAACACCAGAGTACCTTTAGAGGTGCTTGAAAGTGCAGTGTAGTTAGAAGGTGAGGCGTCCGGGGGCGCCTGGGTGGCTTAGTCGGTTGAGCGTCCGACTTTCGCTTAGGTCATGATCTCGCGGTTCGTGGGTTCGAGCCCCGCGTCGGGCTCTGTGCTGACTGCCAGCTCGGAGCCTGGAGCCTATTTCACAGTCTGTGTCTCCCTCTCTCTCTGACCCTCCCCTGCTCACGCTGTCTCTCTGTCTCTCCTAGAAATAAATAAAATAAAATAAAAAACATTAAAAAAACAAAACAGAAGGTGAGGCGTCGGGAAGGAAGGGAAGGGACCTGCCTCCATGGTGCACACAACTGAATATCACAGAGCAATGAAAATATAGTTTTCTTAAGATGCCTGTCTTAATTCAGCGCCCCTGCCACCTGGTAGACATTCTTCCAGATGCTCGAGGTGCATACGTGAAGAGACAACAAGCCCTGCCTTCGCGGAGCTTACGTTCAGTTTTGCCTCAGGTTGAGAAATGGCGAGCATTTCTACCCCGAGGTAGAATTCTCTTGTGTGGGGTGATGGAAATGATAGTGGTGGGGGTGGGCAACCTGCAGCTTTCTCAGACACTGCCAGGGTGCGTGATATATCCCAGCCACTGTGCTGGAAAGACGGAGGTTAGGGAAACCAGGCCTGGCGCCTGGCCTCAGGAAGTTGAAAGAACAGAGAAGGGCAGAGTCACTTGGAAATGGATAGCCACCCATTTATAAGAGAGATCAGGGCACCTGAGGAAAGGAACCGAAGAGCCCGTAGCCAAAGGAAACTGAGCAAGACTGGGCATGAGAGGCGCTGGGGCTGCCAGAGGACGTGCTGAGGGGAATGAGGGTGAGGGTGAAGGCCTGTGGGGGGAGGGGGTGACAGAGGGTGCAGGGTAAGGAAGGCCATTCAGGATGCTGGAAGTACGGGCTGTCCCAGGGAAGGGTGCCTGAGGTGCGGCTGGGGAGGGGGCGGGGCTGCGCACCCCTGACAAGACTCGGCCTGCAGCTGTTACTAAAACCTAAATCCTCCGGTCATTAAGCCATGTAGTAAGTCAGACAGTGCTCCCTAATAAATGTCATAGAGCTTTCCTTTACTCTGTACATGGAAAACAAGTCTTTTGGTTTGGGTCAGGGATTGTGATAAAGGGAATCTGGTTTGGTTAGAGATTAGAAAAAAGAGGATTTGAGCTCAACAAACAGTTCTGGAGCCCCATCTCTCTGCCTGGCATTGGGAAAAGAGCTACCAGACCCAGTCACACGATCCTTACAGTCTACTCATACACGTGGAATGCTACAGATCCATCTAGAATATTCAGAATGTGACCAGAGAGAGAGGTACATACATGGGGCAACCTTCATCTGAACACTGGTAGCTCGCTGACGTGAGGACTTCAGTGGTCAACCTCTCCAAGTCCAGACCACGTACCTTACTCCTCCCTGTAAGCTAGATCAACAGTAGAAAGGGGGGGTAAGAATTCAGGTCCTTACAGGCACCTGGCTGGCTCGGTCAGGAAAGCATACAATGCTTTTTTTTGTTTTGTTTTTTGTTTTTTGTTTGTTTTTTTGAGCATGCAACTCTTGATGTCGAGGTTGTGAATTCAAGCGTCACGTTGGATGTAGAGCTTACTTAAAGTGAAATAAAATAAAATGAAAAGGAATTCAGGTTCTAGAGTCAGATTAAGGCAGATTCCAGCCCCTGCTGTGTCTCCTTAATAGCCATAAAATTTGGGCAAGCTACTTAACTACACCATGCCTCAGTTTCCTCACCTGAAAAGTGGGATTTTGGGGTGCCTGGGTGGCTCAGTCGGTTCAGCATCCGATTTTGGCTCAGGTCATGATCTCACAGTTCATGGGTTTGAGCCCCGTGTCGGGCTCTGTGCTGACAACTAGTTCAGAGCCTGGAAGCCTGCTTCAGATTCTGTATCTCCCTCTCTCTCTGACCCTCCCTTGCTCACGCTCTCTCTCTCTCTCTCTCTTTTCTCTCAGAAATAAATAAAACATTTTTTAAAGTGGGATTTATTCTTTACCTATCACATATAATAGTTGGCAGATTAAGATAGATCCTATGAAGTGCTTTGCCTAATACATACCAAACACTCAGTAAACATAACTACCTTTGTTGGTGCTCCTTCCCAGGAGAGTAGGGATTCAGAGTAGCTGCTGAATTACCTGGCAGGAGGCCACTGTGAAGATCAGGGATTTACTCTCAGATCTGTTTTATGCCCTTCAGGAAATTTCCGTTTCTCCCTCCTAGGAAAGAATTCAGAAATAGTAGTTTCCTGTGTGGCCACAATGAGAGGATAATTCATCTTAAATGCATACATGAGAATAGATACTGATGTAGAGCTAGCACCGAGAGAGCATATGTAACCCACAAAGGATGAGTAAAATGTTTAGACTAGACCTCGCAGGGGAAAAAAATTCAATAACTACTAAAACGAGCCCTTCCACACAGCAAGAACAGAGTTTACTGTCCAAGGGAAACCCTCGGACCCAAAATAAGGAATAATACAGGCAAAATGACTAAAATTAACAGGCTGCATTCAGTCGTCTCAAAGCCGTTTAGGACTAAAAAGCACTACCTGTAAATCTTTATCAGATTGCTGTTAATAAGTGCTATCTTTCCTTCATATTCATGACTTGAATGTGACAGAGTAAGCATTCATAATTCACACAAACATAGCAAGATAGACACAGAAAACCTGAGCTGAATTCTCAGAACACGATTCTGCTTCACAAAGGCATAGTCTGTGCCAAATAAATGAGATTTGAAGCATAGGAACCATTAACACCACAAACACAATTTCTTCCTTGCAAGGGAGAATGTCTCTTGTGGATCTGTCTTACAGAGTCTCGGGCTTTTCCATTTGGAAGGAACCTTACAGGCCCCTGTAGATCAAACTCCAACCTACACGATCACTGTCCTAGTCACTGGTTTAAAAAGTGGGAAAGGGAGGAAAGAGAGACAGGGGAAGGAAGAGGAAGAGAGGGAGGAAAAGGAGGAGAAAGGAGAGAGAGAATGAAAACTTAAACAGTACAGGGATGAAGTCAAAACCCTGTAACTCAACACTTACCCAAACAACTCTGAGCCTCCTCCTAGGCTGATTTTAAACTATTGACACTCATTGGATAGGAGGTTTGATCGGGAATAGAGAACTGTAGTAAAGACCCCAATAGGTTCACCCTGTCTTCAATAATAACTCCGGAACACTACGCTGAAGCCTTTGTTAGAAAAGTCAGACCCACACCCACAGATCTGACTTAGATAACATTCTGATTCTTACCAGTGACCTAGATGAGGCCTTCTACTCTGTGATTACCATGGGCTGATGGATATCTCTCTGAAATTTTGCCAGAGGGCCCCGGAAGAAACTTACTTTGTCATAACTTTTAAAGTCAGGATAAAGGATATTTCAACATAGGGCACCCAGAAAGGATATCAGGTGAGTAAATTAGGTGTTTTCTTCGATTAGTAACTTCTACGCTGCTAGATAGATTTCCCCAGTAAAGAGTTCTCCATGAGATTTCCCTCCTTTCCTCCCTTCCACAAATTATAGGACATATGTTGTACCCTAGAAGCGCTCACCGTCTAAGGGGTGAAAGAAGGAATCTCCATGGTGGTTTGAAATACAGCATTTCCAGTAGCACAGATAGTTCAGGAAACTGGAGTTGTAGGTGGGGCCCAGCCACACTGCACCACAGTGACCATAAAGCAGAGCCGAAAGCTAAATGCCATGAGTGTGGTATGAATGAACTGGGCAAGAGTCCTTGAAGGGGAAGAGATCTCTTCTGATACGGGTGACAAGGGGAACCTAATACAGCAGGTGGACATCCCCTGGGTTCAGGGAGGCATGGGATTTGGGTAGATAAAGAGGGCAGGAAGTAATAATCTAGTCTAGAGGAAAGGTTTCAAATGTAGAACCTGGGCCTGCAACACCAGCAACAGCTGAGAACGTGTTAGAAGCGCACATTCTAGGGTCTACCCTTGACCTAGTGAATCGGAAATAAGTTCAAGCAGTTGGAGTCTAGGATCCAGGCAATTCTGATGAGTACTGTAGTTTGAGATCCAGTTCTCTTAAGTTTGAGATGTTCAGGCCGGAGTCTAAGAAATTGGGTGGGGAAAGAAACACATCTTTATTTTTACTAATCTCTAACTGAAATTTAGCATCTTCTTCCATTGCAGGTGTGAGCAATGAACTACTATGGTAATTATTAAGACCAATGCTAGATGCTGTTACAGCTGATTCTTTATATATATATGTATATATATATATATATATATAAAGTTTTTTAATGTTTATTTATTTCTGAGAGACAGAGAATGAGCAATAGAGGGGCAGAGAGAGAGGGAGACACAGAATCCAAAGCAGGCTCCAGGCTCTGAGCTGTCAGCACAGAGCCAGATGCGGGGCTCAAACTCAGGGACAGCAAGATCATGACCTGAGCCAAAGTCAGACGCTTAACCAACTGAGCCACTCAGGCACCGCAGTTACAGCTGACTCTTGAACCACACAGGCTTGTGCTTTTTACAGGAGAGTCGTATAAATGTATTCTCTCTTCCTTATGATTTTCTTAATAACATTTTTTTTCTTCTAGCTTACTTTGCTGTAAAGATTCAGTATATAGTATATATATCTTATACAAAATATGTGTTGATTGACTGTTGCTAAGGTTTCTGGTTAACAGTAAGCTATAGCAATTAAGATTTGGGGAATCAAAAGTCATATGTGGATTTTTGACTGTGCAGGGGGGTTGGGGTCCCTAACCTCCACATTGTTCAAGGGTCAGCTGTATTTATAAATGCCTTAATAAACAAGAATACAGGGGCGCCTGGGTGGCTCAGTTGGTTAAGCGTCCGACTTCAGCTCAGGTCGTGATCTCACAGTTTGTGGGTTCGAGACCCGCATCGGGCTCTGTGCTGACAGCTCAGATCCTGGAGCCTGTCTTCCGATTCTGTGTCTCCCTCTCTCTCTGACCCTCCCCTGCTCATGCTGTCTCTATCTCTCCTTCAAATAAATAAATAAATAAAATTTAAAAAAAAGAATACATATAATATTGCAGATTATACAGTATTTTATAACTGTATTTCAGTATAATTGGTTTCCTTTGTAACTCTGAATATATAATTTTATGCACTGAAAACATTCTGAGGAAGTGCCCATTAGTTTCACAGACTGCCAAAGAGAACCCATTGCACGCAATTGTTAAGAACCCCTAAACTAGAGGGGCACCTGGGTGGCTCAGTTAAGCGTCTGATTTCGGCTCAGGTCATGATCTCATGGTTCGAGAGTTTGAGCCCCATGTCAGGCTCTGTGCTGACAGGTAGCTCAGAGCCTGGAGCCTGCTTCGGATTCTGTGTCTCCCTCTCTCTCTGACCCTCCTCTGCTCATGCTGCCTCTCTCTCTCTCTCTCTCTCTCAAAAATAAATAAAACATTTAAAAAAATGAACCCCTAAACTAGAAAGATTCTAGACAAAGAGAACTCCGAACAAAGGCTAAAGGGTGAGAAAATACAGGACAACACAAGTATTTCATTTTGACTTCAACTTGAGGAAACAATGGAAGAGAAAAAAGAAAGGCTGAACTTGATTATCAGAACTTAAATTTTTTTCAGCAGATTCTGGGAAGCTATTTAGGATTTTTTAAAAGGGGAGGGAGCAAGAATCAGAGCAAGAGAAACCCAATCAAACTAGTATTTTAAAATAATAGCCTAGGAGTGCCTGGATGGCTCAGTTGGTTGAGCATCAGACTTCAGCTCAGGTCATGATCTCACAGTTTGTGAGTTCGAACCCTGCATTGGGTTCTGTGCTTACAGCTCAGAGCCTGGAGCCTGCTTCTGATTCTGTGTCTCCCTTGCTCTCTGCCCCTCCCCCACTCACACTCTGTCTCTGTCTGTCTCTCTCTCAAAACTGAATAAAATAAAATAATAGCCTAGTGAAACTAAGGATAGACTGGAATACAAAGACACAGGAGGTGAGAGATGAAATTTCTAATCCAGGCTTGACAATAGAAGCCCAAAGTGAAGAGGGTGAAAATGAAAGCATAAAGAAGTTGAGTAAGACTGACACTGAGTATGGCAGAGTGAGGAATCAAAGGTGATTCTGAAGTTTTACCTGAGGGTCACCGGAACAGGAATCATTCCAAGAAGAAATCAAGGGGTGCCAAGTAGAGCGAGTTTGGGCAAGGAATGTGCTGAGTTGCCTATAGGATGTCTAGGTGAAGACATTCAGTAATTATTTAGGGCATGGTCCTAACCTTCAAGACTTAGTGCAGCTCGTTTGGATATCAGCAAGAGCTTTTCCCCAACAGAGATTTTTATCCTGGGGCACGTGGACACACAGGGGTTTCCACGAACCCTTGATGGTATGGAAGCGAATTTTGTCTGTGGTCACCGGCATTTTTGTGGGAGGAAATAAGCACTGTCCACACAAACTTAAAGGGTGTGTGACCCTCTTTCCTACTCAAAAATGTTACGAAGCGTTCCCTATTCATCCTTCTAAACACTGCAAGCAAGGTAAACACTCTTGTCTGACAATTTGGGGAAGAGCATGAGTCTCGGAACAAACAGACGTCTCAGCAGTGAAGCGGCAGCAGGATCACAGTCATCTGTGAACGATTCTGAGTCAGGAGAAGCTCATCGCACAGTCACCGGATGAGGAGAGAGTTTGGAATTTCTTGGTCAAAATTCAATGGAAATGACAGTAGAGACTCATCTCTTGAACCAAATCTTTCCTGCATACCTGTCTCTACAAGAGCAGTCACTGAGAGCTCAACTTTTAAAGCTAAAAATGGTCATTTGTACAACTCTCGCGCTGCTCAGCCTTCCACTGTCCAAAGAAGCAAACTGCACTGACTGCAGGACGGGAAGGGAGCCACAGCTCCGGAGCCAGGCCTTGCTTCGGTACTGCCCTCTACTGGCCAGTTCCCGTTACTCTCCCTCCGGATCTTCGGTCCGCCAGATGGAAGATTCAGCAATTCCGCTGCTTCTAATGGAGCCTCTCTAGAGAGTTCAGACCCCAGAGAGGACCAAAAACTTTTAACACAAAGCTGCCAGCTGCGAAACCAAAATAAAACAAAATCGAAATGTCAATAACGTTGTTAGGAGATGACAGCATTTTCTAATCTTTTTTATTTTATTTTATTTTTTTTAAATTTTTTAAATGTTTTATTTATTTCTAGGAGAGAGAGAGAGAGAGACAGCGTGAGCAGGGGAGGGTCAGAGAGAGAGGGAGACACAGAATCTGAAACAGGCTCCAGGCTCAGAGCTGGCAGTCAGCACAGAGCCCGACGCGGGGCTCGAACCCACGAACCGCGAGATCATGACCTAAGCGAAAGTCGGACGCTTAACCGACTAAGCCACCCAGGCGCCCCTCTAATCTTTTTTAATAGTTTATTTATTTTTGAGACAGAGAGACAGAGCATGAGTAGGCGAAGGGCAGAGAGAGAGGGAGACACAGAATCTGACACAGGCTCCAGGCTCTGAGCTGTCAGCACAGAGCCTGATGCGGGGCTCGAACCCACGAACTGTGAGATCTGACCAGAGCCGAAGTCGGATGCTTAACTGACTGAGCCACCCAGGGAACCCCAATGACAGCATTTTCTAATAGAGTACATTTTTTTTAAAGGAGGATTGTTTTTTATTTGTTTATTTGTTTTGTTTAGTTTCAGTAGAATTTAGTGATTCATCACTTACCTAGAACGCCCTGTGTTCATCACAACAGGTGCCTCCTTAATATCCATCACTCATTTAATCTACCTCCTGCCCACCTCCCCTCCATCAACCCTCAGTTTGTTCTCTATAGTTAAGAGTCTGTTTTATGGTTTGCCTCCCTCTCCCCCACCACCTTCATCTGTTTCTCCTCCTCCTCCTCCTCCCCTTCTTCTTCTTCTTCTTCTTCTTCTTCTTCTTCTTCTTCTTCTCTTCTCCTCCTCCTCCTCCTCTCCCTCCTCCTCCTCTTCCTCCTTCTTCTCCTTCTCCTTTGAGAGAGAATGAGAAAGCGAGAAAGAGAATCCCAAGCAGGCTCCATACTGTCAGCACAGAGCCTGACAAGGGGCTTGAACTCACAAACCATGAGATCATGACCTGAGCTGAAATCAAGAGTCGGAGCTTAACTGACTGAGTGACCCAGGCACCCCCATCTGTTTCATATCTTAAATTCCACATATGAGTGAAATCACATGGTATTTGTCTCTGACTAA